TCGACCACCGAAGAACTTAAAATGTTTTTTCTGAGGAATCGTTCTCCATTTAGAGGTACAGACGACCATGTGAAACGTGTGCAGATTTTCAAATAACTGGCTCGCCCTTTCAAACTGTGTGAGTGCTTCCGATCCAGTCAACCCAATTACGGGGATAACAAACCCTCTTTATACTTTAGCTCAATTTGAATTTGGGTCAACCCAAATGTAATTGTTATCTTTGCTGATGCCGTAAACTATTTAGTTAACAGAACTATCGTAAATTACGCATTGTATCGGACAATTAGATTAATATGCAGCCGCTTGTACCTATAACCTGCAGGGTCGTTAGATAATAGAAGTCCAATAGGCCGTAATAGTGGCACATTTGCCGTTGAAAATGTGCAAGAGAATTTTGCCAAAAAATGTCCAAGTTACGTTACGCTGACGACACAACTCTGTTAGCACAGTATAAAGAAGAACTGGCGAAGTTACTCCGCGTGAATCAATGTAACAGCCCAGAGGAGGACCAGGTGAAGAATTTAGGAAATACGCCAAATGGAGACAAATTCTACAGAATCTTGTAACGGACATTTGCCAGTAATATTTCAATTAATCCAATTTTGTTTAGAAGCTTCTTATCAAAAGTAGGCTCTTCCCACCGGAAATTGAACAACAATCACATCAACAATAGTTTGGAAAATAACGCAAAACTTAGTCATTGTTGACTAACGATTTACACTCAATACAGCTGGGCAAGAAACGTTGCATTAGACAAACCACATCTATAAGTAAGTGCATATTTCCATTAAACGCCGGTTACTGCGGTTTGCGTTGCTTTGCATATTTTGCAACTGCAATGAAGCATCGAAAAGAATGGTGTAATGCCATAAGCGAGCCTTTTGTGCAATCATCGTTTTTCTAGCACCAAACAATTAAGCTAAAAAGCCGAGATTGTTTGTAACATTTAGGTCGAATCTCTTGGAAAGTATACAATTGGAAGGAATCGGCTGTTGAAAACCAAATGATAATTGGAGACCATCAAACTACACATAATTTATCGAGAAATTTTGTGTCACAGGAAGAAGATATCAGTCGACAAAATTTCAACGGTGCACCAAAGATTACAGTAATTCTGCCACAAAATCATGACGTGGATATAAGAACAACCGAAAATTATGATCAGCAACAGTGCAAGAGCTCTAATCCCTAAAATACGTGTTATTTTATATTTTTTGGGAGCAAATCCAGTCGATTTTGAACTATGGACTAATTTTCTGCAGATCTTCGCCTGGATCTGCTTCCCCTTTAAAGTTCTGATTTTGCTAAAACTGAACCAACAATTTATTGATGTAAATCTTGTACCGAGCCCTGTGGGCACGATTCTTAAGAAATGTTTCCTGTCGTGTTGGAAACTGTGCCGTACCGGAATGATTCGGCACAACTTCCGCCTTAAAACTTTGATTTGGTAACTTTGAATCTAGAAATTGTTGTTAAAGTTGTGCCGAGTCTTCACTTTCTTGTGCTTAAACTGTGTCGGCATAAATCAACTTTTTTGATGAATAAAAATGTTTAATCCCATAGCACGAAACCCCTTGATTTTTCATTTATGCTCCGCTTTTTTAAAGTTTTTATTTTACAATGTGTAATTATGATGGAAATAAGAATTTTAATATTATTATTATAAAAATTACGATATTTATGAGTAGAGATGATTTTAAGTTCCGCAAACTTAAAAAAAGTAAAAAGTTCCATCACAAATAGCTTTGATCAGTTAACACGAAATTTGTCTTTCTGATCTGTCTGAAGTTATTTGTAACTGTCTGCTTACAAAACTTTTCATGATGGTATTTTTGAATATTGATTGAGATATTTTGAGGAACATTCTTTAGCAGCTCATTTTACTAAGAAAAAAACTAAGATTTTAAAGATACTAAACATTTTCATGCAAATGAATTTAAAAAACCCGAAAACTGCTGATATTGAGAAACACCTAAACCCGAATCTCAATCAACAACAACGTACAGAGCGGTCAATTGAAAGCTGACTAAATTTCCAAAAAAAATGCAAAGATTCTGTCTGAAGACCGTGAATCTTGTGTGAAAATTTACAAGCTTTTTTATTATTTTCTTACTGTAATCATCGTAAAACCAAAAAAACATGTTTTTTTGCATAGATTTACATTAAGTAAAGAAAGTTAAGTGATTTTGAGAATTCGCTCCCAAGTAAGAAAAATTATCGGAATTTCCCAATGGGCTACTAAAATGAAAACCAATTTAAATAAATAACAACATGACTGATAGAAATCCGGGCTATTACTAGTGATTCAAATGATTGAGTGCTTCAATAGAGCTAAATGCTTCCAAACTACAATACAAGAAATTGCCTAAAAGTACCCGGCTTTAAACCGATGCTTATTATTTATAAGTGGCCAACTTCCACATATCACCTAATGGTGTGGGCTAAACACATTAGAAAAAATTAAACCACAATTCTTTCCTGAAATGTACCTACATGATAAATATTCTGACGCTGTTTCTATTTTTAATATTTACATCAACGTGAGGTCAGTATAAATTTGAATCATATTTTACTTTAGCAGTGTCTGCTTGAATTTTTCAATGATATGGTCAATAGCCTGCAAGCTTTCAAGTCTCCATCTAAAAAATTGAACAAAGAGGGCCAAAACGAAAAACCGCTCCTTCGGTGTTGGTTTGAATATCGTGCTTTTAGCTCTTTCTAATAATAAAAAATTGAGGTCACAGTTCCAAGTTTAGCGGACAAAAACCACTGACCACAGGACCATACAAACATCGACAATTTGTTTATTGAAATTAGAATCTAAATTATAGGCTGTAAAAGCGTCCAGTCTAAAATAAACCAAACGCGTTTCTTTTGGTAAAAGATAAATATGCGACAATAACACCGTACAAATTTAATAAATTTGCCGTAGCTGAGGTCAGTTGAAATAATGACTGCTATTGTAAAAGGTTGCCTCATTTAACGTAATGATGCAGGCAATACACCAGCCTATAATTTCGAATGGAAAATGATTCTATTGTAGAAATAGGGCAAATATGCATGAACGTTCTGCGGCTGATAAACGTCCAATTTTTTCCTTCAACCATCAACCTACTTTTGCCATCAATAAATGTTTGCACTGCCCGGGAGACCTCAAGATAAAGACAATAATATTTAATGAAAAAAAGAAAATAGAATGGAGCCACAATCTGCAGCCATTAGTCTTCGAAATTATCCTTGGGCATATTCTCGTGTCCAGGTTAAACCTCTGCCAACGGGCCTGTTATTAATGTCGGATAGAACGGAGGCAGAATATCGGGATGAGCTCGCTCCCGAAAATTAATAACACGCCATACATCATCTTGAAACAATACGAAGATTCGTCCAATTCACCGGCAACTTTATCAGTTGGGATTGTCTGTTTTCCTTGTTCTCAAATTGAATCGAATTTATTGCCCATATAAGAAAAATCGCTGTGAATTTATTGCTAAAATCTATTTGAGTTTTCAGATTAGAAACGCAGATAAATTTTCGAAAAAGCTTTACGAAAATGCCGCAGCTGAAACATTTGACCGACAAAAAACCCAAAGCAATAAAATAAACATGTCAGACTTGGGGATTTGTTTTGCACCTGCAGTTCGAACTAATTATGTTTTTTGTTCTGGGAGAATAAACGAGATAATTAAGGAAATAAATATATAAAATGTATTGATTTAGATTGCAGGATTGGACTTGGTAGCCATCAAGTTCAATATGCTAAAAATAATTGTTTTTCCCACTGTTCTAATATCAATATATTTATGTCACTGTTTGTGCAACGTAAACATTTATCCGTCTAATTTTAATAAGTTTCTTCCCAAAACATTAAAAGCGAATGTTCACACTTCTAAAATGTACTTCTAAATTTTTTTAACCTTGTCGGGGACAGTTTTGCATGGAAGCAATCCTGCTAACGGTGTTATTGAAAGACCAAAACATAGTCAGAAAATATAATTGTCACAACAAATAATGATACAAAACAGAATAAACAGTGTGATTAAAAATAACTCTGGCAAACTTTACGAGGTGATTGCTGGCATTATTTTAAGACGAAGTTCTAATAAATTAGGGTTCTTAAGGGGATCGTCACGAAACGACCGGGTGTTAAAGTTTTATTTAAAAAAACTGTTAATATATTAATATATTCCAAACCACTTAAAATTTTGCAGATATCAATAGTCAATCAGTGTCGCGCATATCGACATGATATTCAATATTTTTGAAGAAAAAAATGTGCTACGGACTTATCAAAAAACAAATTTTAGCTTTTCGTTGCTCCTTCGATTAAAAAAAAAGCTCTCTTAACTTTATTTGGTACAACGCATCATTTTCGAGTAAAAAAATGTAAATCGTATAAATACACGTCTTACAATCCTTACACCAACAACTGCTTTAATACAAAATTTTAAATTATTGACGATTGCTTTTGATGCGCTCGAGACAAAATAAAATTTCTTAGAACGCTCACTTTAGAATACCAGATTTAAATCCTCTTGATTTTTACTTGTGGGGACATTCGAAGTCCATTGCTTATAAAACACCAGAGGAAATCCAAAATCTAAAGAGGATTCTATAACGTGCATTGAAACTCAATTATATAATTTTTACTCAAAAATGCTGCGTTATACGAAGAAAACTCAAAAGAGCTTTTGTCTGGAAGCGAAAAAGCAATGAACAAGTTAAATATTTTTTGATAAAACAGTGGCGCACCGTTTTTTCCTACAAAAATTTTAAAATTTTATCAAATATCTCGTTTTGGTTAAATTAATTTTTTTTGCTTTTTAATAAATTTTTTGCACCCTGTATTTTCGTAACGATGCCCTTAAAAACGCCTGTTGATTAGAACGTTTGTCATACATTACATATGAGTGAAAAAGTTACTTTCTAAACTAAAAAACTTGAAAACTTTATACCGAGCCTTTTAGTTTTCATAGTGCAATGTAAAAAAAATAAACACTTACTATCATCGCTCTGCGGCGCTGATAAAATCGAACTGTGTTTCTTCTTGACTTCTTCGACATTCGCCTGGATCTTGTCGATCATCTCACGAATATCCTCCACCTGAAAAGAAAAAAAAGGATTTTTGTTTTGGTGTGGAAAAGCAACTAGGCATGGAGATGGAAGGTGCCGGTAAATTAGATAGAATGGATAGGGATTCTGGAAGTACTTGCCTCCTGAAAGAACTGGTTCATAAATTCCCCATCGCGGCCTTCGACGGTGACGGCGACGTCGTCCGTCCCCACGTCATCATCGTCACTTTGAGCCTGAAAAAGAACAAAACGTACCATAAGAAAACAAGAAAAACAGTCGTTAATGGGTCACAAAACAATGAATCATTTTAAATCCATTCAGGTCATTTAATATGCATGTAAACAATAGAAATGAGGAACTGAAAAATAAGCTCTTTGGAAAATACGCATTTCCTTCGAAGAAAGTTTGATAAAGTATACGAATGCCATCTCAGTTTACGACAACATAAACTGCAGTTTAAACCCTTTCTTTTTAGGAATATCAACACTTAATTACAAAAAACATATTTTATATCACATTCCTTATTACACTTTATGACTGTTTCGGGTTATAATCGCCCATCTCGACTGCTAGAATTTAAAAATTAAAAGAAAATCATAAATTTTACTTCCGCTGTTACGATAAAAGCAAAATAAAATCCACACTGTTCTGGACTTAATTCTTAAACTAAATTAACAACGTACGATTGGCGCTTGACATAGAAAAAAAAAGGAGAGTGGTAAGAAACATCGACTGGTGCCAACCCGAGTATCCAACAAATTACTTCTGATTCGATCTAATTTGGTGCTTTTTTTGTCAATAATCAATGACTAGAACAGTCAGGAGTAGATTTTTGATCCGTGAAAAATAACTCGACGTACCATTGTACTTACAAAAATAAAATATAAACTCATACAAAATACACATTTTGCGCAAAAAGACCCAATTAACACTCACGCAATACTAACAATCCGTACTAATTCCAACAAAATAATTATAGAGATATCGGAAAGCAAACGTAAAGAAAATATAAAAATGTGTGAATATGAGTGGTATTGGCGAATAGTTTTTCCAAACATAGCGCCGCCTTTTGCAACGTTCCTCAAGAACCATTTTGGCCACAAAGCCCGATTTCTTATTATTGAATAGAAAATTAAAATCCTGATTCAATAAGTAAGGTGAGTAAAAAGATACTAGCAGTTTTCAACACAAAATGCGATATTTGGACGGCACACATTTAGATGAAAGATTAAGCTAAAATTTCACATTTTTCGCCACCTCTTCGTTCATTTCTCAGTAACAGGTTGAGCTATAGAGCGCTCATTTCTGCACCATTGGATAGAGCATTAAATGGCGCTGTAACGAGGTAAAGCATCGCTTGGAAAATAGAAGCAGTTTCCACGCAAAAAGCCGCAAGTTGTTTTTGCGCGGTGTAAATCAAGAGTATGGATCTTGAAAAAATTACATGAAGGGATTATTCGCTAAACCCTCGACAAATAACGCTATAAGATTCGTTATACTGACCCTAATCGATGATACATATTAATACAAAATTCTATTAAGTTTATTTATTGCTACAGCCACTGTGTGCAGCGTATGGTTGCCTCGTGTGTGAGAATATTATATTTATGTGATTTGCGTGCAGACTTTCCCAGGCAAAAGTAGCCCAATTTTGTGTAAATTAGGCAGATAAGAATAAAAATACCGTGCACGGTAGACATGTATTATCAATTAGGCCACTTATTATGGGTGAATATTAGAACTTTTCACTTTTACAGCAGTTTGATGTTTTGGACTGCTAATGTGGGATTTTTCGATTTGTCGTTGTCACTGCTAGTAAATTTAAATTTATCTAATCTAGAACACAAAAGCATGTTGGTCTTTAAAAGGGGACAGTTTTAGGTTTCAAATTATGTATTCTTAGTAACTATCGCGTAACTTACTGAACGCCTTTGGCACAAAAGTACAAGTTCAGAGTGTAAAAGCAGAAACTCTCGAAAGCTACTCAAGAGTCTTGGTTTTGACCTTTATTATGAAAATAGGCCAAACTTATTAAATGATCTTGAACTGGTTGAGATTGGCGATCTTAACAGTTCTCAAAGTATGGATATTTTCGCATGCAGCTTCGAGTATGGTGGGAAATGTTAGGGGTACAAACTAAGAAGACAATTTTCGGTGTCTTGTGGAAAAGTAGCTGTTTCCCGGTGTTTCCACAAGAAACACCCATAAGAAATCATTAGTTAGTAAAGACATTTTCATAAGGCAAGCATATCGCTAACTTCCTATGCGCGCATGTTTTCGAAATTTTTTTTCGGGATGAAACTGCCTTCCTGTTTCAAAGCGTTTGCAACATAAAAAATGTATCTTTTGCTTTGAATTTACTGAATCAACTTGGTCCTTTGACATGCTCCTTAGTAAAGCGAAAAAAGAATCCTCTTAAACCCTAAACGCAAAAGCATTCTCTTTCCTAACCCCCAGTGCGCCCCGATTTATCACTCATTGATTGAAGTGGGGACTCGATTCAGTCAAACGCTTAAAAAGTCCTACTAAACTTGTTACATAACAATTAAAAGGGTCTACCTTAAAATGTATTTTTTGCTTTGATATTATACCGCACACAAATAGCTATTGATATTGATATTCGCATACATTCATTCATGTATCTTGGAAATGTGCGAGTTATTTCAGCTGGCCTGGGTAAGCTGCAAACACCAAATAAGAGATGGAAGTTGTTCCAGTATAATTTCGAAATGTACTTCACCGAACTCTGATTGGTTATCAGCGGTAAAACATGCGTCCCCTTAATAAGCAGAATTTCTTAAAAAATTTCTGTATCCAACACATCACAATTACTTCAACTTAGTAACTTCAAAATGCTTTTGTTGTTCTTAGTTTTTGCGATCTCATTCAATGTTTCTTTATCTGTATCTTCGTTCTGTTTAAGTAATCGCTTATTTTTATATTAATCTTTGCCAAAAGCGTATTTTTAGGCCATTTGTAATCATTTTTCAGGCGGAAAGGTAAATTTGTTAATTTTTTTTTACCAATTCAAATGCAATCGAAGAAAAATGCCTTTACTTTACAAAAATTAAAACCTAAAAAACTCAGCTCATTTTAAGCTAAGAAGTGTGTTTAAATTAAAAAGATCTCCTGAAAGATGGCATTTGATGATAAAAATAGGTATGCTCACCTTCAGTTATAAATTTTTTTTTAATATGATGAAAAAATAATGAACTTTAATTCAGGCAGTGGCCGAAAAAAATTTCTTCAATATGAGCTTATTCATAACTTGTTATGATATTCCTATCTTTACTGAGTTTCAGTCAAAGTGTGAAGTCAAAATTTTGAAACATCGTTTAATTCATTACGTTTCGGCGAGACAACCGCGCCTTCATCAGATTTAAAATTTTACACAAACTACAAACACCAATTCACAATTAAAACATGTTGTATAAAATTTATAATTTACAAAGTGTTAAAACATTCATCAGTTTTTGAGATCAAAAATTCTTCCTTTTGGGAGAGCAAACTTATTCATAACTACAAAATTAGAGATAAATAGATTGTTTCTGATTCAATCCATTTAAGTACCTTTGATTTTTCAACCACCATTTGTCCCAAAATGTTAATATTGCTAAATAATGGAAGTTTTATGCAGAATTCAAAATTTCACAAAAAAATAGGGTTCACATTTGCAATTGGACTTGGAGGGTCGTAACACGACCATAATACATATAACCCTGAGCATTTAAATTTTTTATCAAAAAATGCGCACTTAAAAATGATAATATACGTGCCCAAGCGTTTTTCTTCAAAGAAAGTTCCTTGGATTTTAATCGAATTTATTCCTGCCCTTATTCACACTGTACAGGGTGGTTTCTTCATAATTTGAAAATCCCCGTACATTATGTAGCTACATATTTCAAAAAGATTCATTATTACTCGAATTTTTCAAATATGAGAAAAATAAGGGCGAAAATCGCAGTTTGTTTCTAGGATATTAGCTTTGGTTTCATGGCCTATTGTCACTTAGTAAAAAAGTTTAAATAAATTGCATAGAAAACCATTACAATATACAGCAAAGTCCGCTTATAATAAACCCGGTTATAGTGAACTTTCTGGTAAAACAAACTTTTGTCCTTTAATTGAAACGTCATTCATAATACCCAACGTATTTTTTACTGGTTATAACGATCCCGTTTATAACGAACTTCCGGATATAACGATCACTTTTTGGGTTAGTTGTATATTCACTTTCCGTTTATAACGAACTTCCACGCTCAACAAACTCAGATGAAGATGTGCACAATTTTGTCGAAGAACAAGTTAAAATCAAATTGAGTGATTTCAATTTCTTCGAATATGTGAGCATTGATAATGGCTATCTTACAAGAGAACTGTTGACCGATGAGCAAATTATAGACGCCGTAACCTCATCTACAGCTTTAAGCGATAATGAGGAAGGAATTTTCTACAATCACGCCAAGTTCCTAATCATATCTGGGAGTCATTTTGTGGTCTTGAAAACTACATAAATAACATTTATTTTTGCAGTAGAAATGTTCAAACAAAAATTGAAGACTATGAAGTAAATTTCAAATTGTGTTCTGTTTATCTTTTTGTGTTCTTTTTAGTTATACCTACTAACTTCTACTACTATATGTAAAAGTAACGAAATAAAATACACCACATGTTTTTGTGTTATTATTCGCTTATAGCGAACTCCGGATATAACAAACCAGTTTTAGTTCATTTTTCAAGTTTGTTATATCCGGACTCAACTCTACTTAGGTATGGAGTGCTTATTATTGGAAATATACCTAAAAATGCTATATTTTTAAATAAAAATATACAGTGTTCAATTTTTAAAAAATCTTAGGTCCGATAACTTTTTTACCTAACCCCATACACTTATTCTGAACACAGCAGTTGAATTGACTCAACTCAAGTCATTATAAAGAACCTTTGGCATGAAATATTTTTCTCTACCACTTTTAACTAGGAAAATATAGGGTTTGAAATTGACAAGTTTTTTATTTTCTCCTGTAGGTATCTCCTAAGCGAGTAAAATTTTTAAAATTGTGATAAAAGCGACACCTTTGCTACTTTTTTGATAGCACTGACTTTATAACGGGACTTTTATAAGGAGACCTTATAAAAGTGCCGAAATTGGGACACCCTGTATGCCGATTCACAAAGTTCAATATTCGTGTTTTTTATTTTGCAGTCGCATCAAAACAAATACTATTATCGAATTACCAAATGAATTCGGGAATTGTTTTAGTTACTCGAATTAGTGTGAAAATAGAGTAAAAAAATAGAGTAACTCCAAACATTTAATTCGATTCATAGGATCACTTCGACCAATGGGCCTTGACCTAGAAACTTGGGTACTTGGCGCTTATACCCAAATAATGATTCATTGAAGGTGTTGCAAGGAAATAGAAGAAAAAGTGAACACCGGTTTTTAATAAGTAGGAATCCCCCCGGAAAAAATGACTCAGTAGCGAGATTCCAAGGGGTGGGGCTTGATTTAAGTGACAATGTTGGCAAAATTTCCCTAACCTCCTTGATTTCTGGCAAAACTTAGCAACAGTTGAAAGTGATACTATTCCCCAATTTAGACCAGGCTAGATTGTCAACAGATTAAAAACAATCGAATTGGCAAAATGAGCATAATAATGCTCGCGATTTTCGTCAATCAAAGCAATTGCATGATCTTGAATGAATTAAAAATCCTAATGAAGTTTAGGGAAAGTGGGTTGGCTCACCGCAACGAGGGCCGCTAATCTATCCTTGGTCATTTTGATCCGACTTGAGTCTCACACCACTAAAAGAATGTTTTGCAAAATAATCCCATTCAAATGATTTTACACAAACAACACGACAACGAGAACTAAACCCGACAAATCCGCCAACTTTAAGCGAACGGTCACCACTCGAAAATCGATAGAGTTCTGCAGTGCCGTCCCTGGATAGCGCATGTCCATGTGACGTCGGAATTTTCTGTGACGTCATCAGCTGATTTTTCCACTTTTTTTACATTTTCCCGATAAATAATAAGCGAAAAGTTAATTTGCTGCGGGATTTACGGATTTGATGATTTTTCTCTTCAAACTGTGCCCTTGCCGTCTTTAAACTTCGTTTACCAGCGGATGTCGGTTTGAATCGGCAACCAGTCGGCCTCATACAGTTGTGAACGCCATTGTGATCTCTAACGACTTTCGGTGCTTGCATTAGTAATCGTCGAATCTCTGTACCATCGCTTGTTTTCAAGCGTTTTTCTTCTCAAGGTAGGTTGTTTCATCCCTGCTAGTGACTCATCTGCCTTTATTTTTCCCATTTACTTTCTATTTACCGAGATATTCATCCCTAAAGTCGGTGATTGAATGTCAAATTCCTATGAGACGTTTTTACCGCCATTCCCTAAGCTTCAAAATCAAAAGAATTCTTAACCTACACGTGAAATCTGTCCACAGACGCCGTTTGAACGCTTCTTCCAAGCAGTTGTTTCCTTAAAAAATTGCATCAGTTATTAATAGTTGTGCTGGAACTTTCCATTCACTGTGACAATTACTAATTCCTTTGCAGGCAAAGAAAATCAAAGCTAGATCATGGCTACTGAACTGGATGCCCCAACGTTTAAGTGTGTGCTTGTTGGAGACGGTGGTACTGGAAAAACCACCTTTGTGAAACGGCACATGACTGGAGAATTCGAGAAAAAGTACGTTGCCACCCTGGGGGTGGAAGTGCATCCTTTGGTGTTCCACACCAATAGAGGCCCCATTCGGTTCAATGTCTGGGACACAGCCGGCCAAGAGAAATTCGGAGGACTGCGAGATGGCTACTACATTCAGGGCCAATGTGCCATTATCATGTTTGATGTCACCTCTCGAGTAACCTACAAAAATGTCCCCAACTGGCACAGGGATTTGGTCAGAGTCTGTGAAAACATTCCAATTGTGCTTTGTGGCAACAAAGTCGACATTAAGGACCGGAAAGTTAAGGCCAAAAGCATCGTGTTTCACAGGAAAAAGAACCTACAGGTAACATGAAATGTCCATTTTGTGCACGACACCTGCTCATGAGGTTTAATTGCTCTACATTAATTAAAAACCTTTTTATTCCAGTATTACGACATATCCGCTAAGTCCAACTACAATTTTGAAAAGCCTTTCTTGTGGCTAGCCAGAAAATTGATTGGAGACCCCAATTTGGAATTCGTCGCTATGCCCGCCCTCGTGCCCCCAGAGATCCAAATGGATCCCCAATGGCAGCAGCAAATCGAAAAGGACCTCGTTGAGGCCCAAAACACCGCCTTACCTGACGACGATGAAGATCTTTAAATTAACACTGTTGTATGTAAATAACGTTTATAAAGACTTGCTAAGTAGTCCATTTAAAGTAATTGTTTAATCCGGATTCAATGGCTATCCAGATATACGGCTCGATTTGTTACTCTCCAGCTACCCTTGGGTGATGTTTTCTTTTTAATTTTGATAATAAAACGTTAATATTTTTCTATCCAACCGTCTTGTTTTGGAAATGGTTAAGTCTGATTGGCTCTGCAAAGCCACATTGAAAATATAACTAATTAGGTGTTTAAACTTATAGCTCTTTATAATCTAGGTATGCATGTTTTTATTTTTGTCATACTCGCATAATATAATAAACGTATTTTTTGTCATTCCCTGCCTTTTTACAGCCACCACCTAATTTTTTACTCATTAATTTCCGATGTTCTACCAGTCTCAATTTTCCCAATAATAAAAAATCGGAGATAGTTATACCGTAAGAACTCTATATTTCTCACTCTATACCATCAGATGTAAGACAAAGAACCACTTGTCTGGTCCCAAATGAGGTTATATATTTGTTTTGAAATGCTTTAACCTCTAATATGTTCTATATCACCTTAGAGAATCAACTGTATCATCAAGAAACCTGCCTCTGGTAAGCGCTGAAATACAACGATCTCATGCTGGTTTTAAGAAAATCTTCACGTCTGGTCAGAGCAGCTCCACAAAGCCTTAACAGGCCGCTGTCTCAATTTACCCCAAATAAACGTTACAATGTTATTGTTGTGGGAGGAGGACATGCTGGAGCGGAGGCCTGTGCGGCTGCAGCGCGAATGGGCTCGCAAACCCTGTTAATCACACATAAAAAAAATACTGTGGGTAAGTGGAAAACAGCGGGCTTGTGGCTCGTCATGGGAGCCCTAAATTTGTCCAATTATAGAGGGATGGGAACAGTTGGCTTACGCTTTATTTCAGGGTTGTTGAACCAGATTTAGTTTCTCTACTTCAATCATATTTAAAAATGTGAATTACATGTAGTTTCGGCAACCTTTCTTAATTCGGCATTATACAGAATCTAAATAATGAGCTCAAAATTCATTCGTCGTCAATTTTAGGAGAAATGTCTTGTAATCCATCCTTTGGAGGAATAGGAAAGGGGCATTTAATGCGTGAAGTTGATGCTTTGGATGGAGTTTGTGGTAGAATTTGCGATCAGTCCGGCATTCAGTACAAAGTAGGTATTACTACGATTCTTTCCATTTCATTCCTCACTCCTACGCAGCTCTCGTTTAATAAAAAGCCAACTTTTTCTACACGTACACTTGTAAAAACCCACATAACTAACTACCTGAGCTTTTATGAATTTTCTTTTGTTCATAATTATGCATTTATTAAGATTCTCAACAGAAGGAAAGGCCCAGCAGTATGGGGATACAGAGCACAAATCGATCGTGAATTATACAAAAAACACATCCAAGATGAACTGTTTGAAAAAACTAAGAATTTGGACATTCTGTTTTCTCCAGTTGAGGACTTAATCATAGAAAACAGCTATACTGATGCGAATAATCAAACCATTGTGGACTGTAAAGGAATTCTATTGAGTAAGCTGAGTTATTCCATAGTCACTGGATCGCTACGAGTTTAGAGATTTTCGATATTTTAGATGACGGTACAAGAATACAGTCTGACTGCGTTGTAATAACCACTGGAACCTTTTTAAATGGCAGGATTAACATAGGGCTGAAAGTATTTCCAGCTGGTCGAATAGGCGATGAGCCGGCCATAGGTATTCCGCTAACTCTGTTTTAGTATCTTACAGCGAGTAATAAACATTTTAGGTCTTTCAAATACCTTAAAGCAATTAAACTTGAAAATGGGGCGTCTAAAAACAGGCACGCCACCAAGATTAAACGCCAAAACTATTGATTACGATCGGTGTATCCCCCATAAAGGGGACAATCCTCCACTTCCATTTTCCTTCATGAACAGCTCTGTGTGGATCGATGTACGTCTTTAATATTTTATCTAACTCATCAGTCGCGTTGTGCTTATTTAAAACATTGCAGCCCAACGATCAGGTGCTTTGCTATTTGACAAACACCAACTCGAAAATCGAAGACATAGTAAAGAATAACATTCACCTGAACAGGCATGTTTTTGAGGAAGTAACCGGCCCCAGATATTGCCCCAGTATTGAGTCGAAAGTGCTGAAATTTGGGGGAAGAGAACATCAGCTGTGGTTAGAACCTGAAGGCCTTAATAGCAATGTGATATACCCGAACGGTAATTTTAGGAAATGTTTCTGATGACAAATAACTGAATTATTTCCTGGATAGGATTGTCGTGTACGCTACCAGAAGACCTCCAAGAGCAGCTTGTGCATGCAATTCCCGCTTTGGAAAAAGTGGAAATTCTCCGACCAGGATATGGGGTCGAATACGACTTTGTCGATCCCCGAGAACTCAGTCCTTCTTTGGAAGTTAAAAAAGTTAAGGGGCTGTTTTTGGCGGGTCAGATTAACGGCACTACTGGTTATGAAGAAGCGGCCGCCCAAGGAATTCTAGCCGGAATTAATGCCGCAGCCAAAGTATTTAAAACTGACACTTTTGTATATTTTTTTGCTCACTGTCCTATGCAATTTAGGCTCTAAAAACCCCACCGCTAATAATCAGCAGGACTGAAGGCTACATTGGAGTTATGGTGGACGATCTTACTACAATGGGCACCACTGAACCCTATAGAATGTTCACTAGCCGTGCTGAATTCAGGTAAATTAATGGAATATTTATTCACATGCTTTGACCGTAAGGGGCATAATTGGTTAATAGATTAACATTGAGGCCTGACAACGCAGATCAACGGTTGACTGCTAAAGGATATGCAGTCGGATGTGTGTCCAAAGAACGGTATCAGAACATGGTAAATGTTCAGAGAAAGTTAAAGGATGGAATCGCTTTATTGAAAAGCACGTTTAACGTCTCCAACCAGTGGAGGAGGCTTATGGGGGCCGTCATTGTTAAAAACAACACCAAAAGAAGGTATATTGCTTCCCTTTCCTCGTCGATTATTCAACTGCTAAAAAAATATGTAACAGCCTTTCACATAAATCGCAAATCATTTCAGTGCTTGGGAAATGCTAGATATTAATAACGATATCACAATCAATTTAATGGCCACAGCTGAACCTGCTTTGTTGCCTTTGACTTACGATCAGGCTCTAACGACGCGACTTCAAATTGAGGCGACATACGAACGAGCGGCTGCTGAGCAATATGAAGAAGTCAATGAGGTACAGGGGTTTAATTGGGTTAAAAAAATATTCGGGGAAAAGCAGTTGATTAAACCAGCTTATTGGGTGCAGGTGAGAGCAAATGAAGCTCTGATGCTGCCCGAGGATCTAAATTACAACTCCGAGTCCTTGAGCTTGAGTATGGAGGAAAGAGAAAAACTTTTGGCAGTCCAACCACAAACCGTAAGTTGTAATAATAAACTATTAGTTGAAGTGCTACACAAATATGCCGCTTGAAAGTACGGGAATGCTGCTTCTCGTTATGGAAAGGGCTTTCGACACAGTTCGGCACACAGGCCTGCTGTACAAGTTGTTTGTGCGCTCAGTAAAGAAGAGTGCGGTCTAAACGCCGTCATAATTTCGAACTTCACTCGCTAAGAAAAATTTCGCAGGATTTCTAAGAACTATTGCGGGACACTTTTCGAAAACAAATTTCTCCGAAACTAAAATTACTCTAAAAGTTCAGAGCTGTGCGTTCAGTAAAGAACAGTGCTCTGTAAATGTCGTCAAAATTTCTTCAAACCTAAACATTCATTCAAATCACATGAAATCCTGAATTTTGCGCGCTTCTTAAATGTTGATTTAAAAATGAAAGCTTTTACACAACTGCAAACTCTCCTTTTTTTAATGAAATTCTGGCAAAAAGTTGCACGTAAATGTCTGATATTCAAATTTCGTGTAACTTTTTGCGACAAATCTAACAGAATTTACTCACGGACATTGTTACAACTGAATCGAATTAACAATTCTCTATCCAATGATTCACTATCCAACTAAAAATCTTGAACTTTTTTGATAAAAAACAAAACAGAAACCCATAGTTGCATATCTGAAACAGTTTTTTGTTTTTTTGGAGACAAGCTTCAGATGAGCTTAATGTAAAAATGTAAAGCCGCCCAAAATTTTATCAAAGTACAAGTTCAAAGTCAAAAAATTTCTTGTGAAGGAAATCCACACTATCAGTAATCTGCAACCATTCTTGTATTGAATACTGGAACCCAAATTTCCCGATCTGAGGTGTTTATTTAGCGAAAAGTTTTACATGGGCTTCATATAAAAATACAAAGCCTCCCAAAGTTTAAAAATCAAGTACCAAAGAATAGCTCAATTGATGTCAATCCACTCTATGAGTCAGTTGATGAATATGGGACTAAAAGTTCTACATGTACCAGAGGGAAAGTAATGGTAAGCTTACCGAAAGCTGCGTAGTGCCACCTGGAAAGAAAGAAGAAAATGCGTTCAGTACAGCAGGAAATCTGTCCAAATTTAGACTTATTTGAAATCAGCAAAGCAAAGAGAAAAGTATAAAGAATCGATAAAACTTCAGTTGCTCAAAAAAGTTCAAATATTTATAGATTAGAGATCATTCTTAGCAGTTTTCTGCAAGCTGGCGCCCTATCCTCCATTTTCTACCCATAAATCCACTACACGTTCACAAACTACCGCACTTGCCATAAGATCCACAATGATTCTATATTTCCCATCTAAGAACGCGATTCACACGACACAAATGATGATCGACCTATTTCATCCTCTGTCGGTAGCAAACTGAACAGTCATTCAAACACCTTTTCGACAAAAAAGACACCTAACTACAGAATATAAACATGATTATCTAATCATATAATTGTTCGTCCTTTCGATGATTCACGCTTTACTTGGTAGTTCGATTCCAGTTTGTTTATTGTTGACATTTTTGTAGATAGTGCCTGTTCGAATTGCAATATTTCTAAAGGCAAATTTCACGTTCCAACTTAACACTTAACAGCTAAACGAAAAACGCTCCAAGCGCCGATCTTTCACTAATTTAACTTTAAATTTGGATCCATTTATATTTGTCTGACGTTCATCTGCAGTGATTAATGTACAACGCCAAAACTAAAATTAATAACCGAATTAATTTTGTGTCTAAAAATGTAGACTAAGCAAAAAACCGCGAAGAAATCACTTAAAAAAGCGTGTTGCTCAATTTCCGGGCGATGATAGAAACCAACGAAATTTCAACTAATTCTAACTATGAGGCCAGTGAGGCGCGATGAGCTATAACTCACGAACTCACAGAGCGGCATCAACGCAAAAGCGCAACTCAACACAGTGTTACCCAGGACTACTTCGCCTCATATATGTTGTAACTTTGTGCTTGTACGATGTGAATGTTGCCGTTTTTGCAGATTGCTGCAGCTAGCCGTATACCTGGAGTGACACCATCTTCTATTCTCAGGTTATTAAGATATGTGAAATACCAAAACCATACCGCATCCGGCCTATCAGCATAAATATATCAACGTTTTGAAAATTGAATTTCTTTTCTTGGTCCCTGCTAATATCCAATGAACGAACTGCTCCTACTCCTATAAATTGTTTTTATTAGTTCACCTGGAACTCCAAATTATGTAACGATACAATGTACAACAGATTAAAATGCCCCAAAGGGATACGTACTATATTTTGGGACAGAATGTTAGTTAAAGTACCTAATAGTTAACTATTTACAGTGACTACTTAAAAGATAAACATTTGGCAAAGAAGAAAAGCTTTCACAATTGAGTCCTTCAAACTCGACTATTTAATTCGACGGTCATTTTCAAGTTCAGTTTTTGTACTTAACTAATTTTATGGGCGATTAGCTTGATTCCTGCGATTTAATTTACGTATTTTGTCTTGTTGAAGGTTGCAAGACCCGAGCAATTAACAAGGCACCAATTTCAAATAGAACCATGTTTTCCAACCAGTTTTATGCGTATTTTAATGCACATTAATTAATATAACATAATTGCCCCATTAGTTTTCTCCTCCAAAACGGGAATGACGGTTTCCGTTTCTTTTTCGCTTGTAGCTATTGTCACTAAAATTATATTTACAACAGCCGCACCGGAAGCTCCAACGACGAACCTAAACAACAATAACGGTTGATTTTTTCGGCTGGTTGATGATTTTTCTTGTCCTTACCAGAACGAATATCCCAATTCAGCCATGTCCTCGGACGTCCATTCGTTGTTTCGGTCTTCGCGCGACAGAACATTGTATTGGATTTTCGTGAAGAACTGAGCCATCCAAAGTGCGATTGCAATTAGCGAAAAAAATGCTAAAAACCCCCGATGTTTTGAAAAATTTCCATTTATTGTCAGCTTAAGACTTACTTGTTAAGAGATTCCAAAAAATCAACCCGGACATTCCCACTAGACATCGATAAGAAGTGGTCACGGTGTTGATTATTGCTAAAACAGCGCTGATAATCGACACCAACAGGCCCAAACATAGTGCGAGTACGGTGCCCAACCACATCCAGTAATTCAGAAACTCCGGCTCATGTTTCATGGTCTGGATCACTGGAAATTGAGGATTTTAGTATAAAAAATAATAATTTGTTATGCAAAAGCTCGCAACTACTTCACAATAAGTGATTGAAACGCGCCCCATTTTCATTAATAACAACAAGGTCAATTATATAAAGTCGACAAATTGTTGCAACACGTTCTAACAGGTTTTTTCCTATTAATTTAACTTCCACATATGTCAACAATATGTTAAATGGAAGTTACAGTTATACAATTGCAAGACCTGCTTAGTAATGCGGTGCGCATTAAATTGCTTAAAATTAGTATATTGGCAATTTTTTCCTGCTCACTGCTATTAATTGTTGGTCATCTCATGAACAAGCATGTATCATGCACATTTCCTTCTCAGACCTTGGCATTTGCCCAGATTTGGCTTGCTGAGAGTGTCTGGCAGGTATCTTGCCCGCATAAAGCATGCTAATCTATTTAAAATACGGTACCGGTTTACATCTCGTTATTGACCGAAAGGTGTAACCGTATACGGCCTTAGAATATTCAGCCTTTTAATGACATAATTTTGAGCAATTTCTCATGCACGCGCTGTATTAGATGTAAATTTTCTCATTGAAATTCCTTTGTAACAAGTGGCTGTGAATCAGACCCCCGCATTACTTCACATGTTAAACGACATTTTTTAAAATAGTTTTTGCGTAAATGTTGGATTTGTTAGTTTGAATTTCTTATTACCATCAATATCATAAGTTCGCCATCCATAGGCAACGTTCAGTTCCTTTCTGCCATCAAACAGGCCAAAATGAATCCGGCCGTCGCTTTCCAGAGGGTTTTTGGATCGTTTTGCGCTTGCTTCGGTCCAGTGCTTGGTTCCGATAGCGGCCAGCAAAAGAGCGGCAGCTGCGCAACTTATGAAGAAGGTGCAAAAGACCAAACCTTTTCGGATGAAATTCGACATATTTGGCTCCTAAGGCGTCGCTCTTGGTCGTTTTGGTACGTTGGTCATTTTATTTTGTCGATTGTTGCACTTTGGATCTGAAAATTTAAATTTGACCTGATTATTATCCAATTTTGCGGCGTTTTATTAAATCGCGTGTCTATCGAAAGGTATTTAAAAAAACCAAAATAAATGATTATGATTCGACGAATAGCATTGCACAATTAATATAAGCAGGTGTTGCATAATCGCAGTGTTTCGTGCAGAAAAGCCACTGTAATTTATTAATTTCACAGACATCAAGCCATACACAATGGGTTTAAAGTTTCGTTTGCCAACGTTGAGTAACAGTACATTTTAACTGTTTGCCTCTTAACGTATTTAATTGGCAGAATTAGTCGTAAAAAATAAGTTTTCCTTTTTTTCGTCAATGAATCTAATTTCTGCTTCGAATAAAAGTGTTCCGCTAGCTGGAAAAAATTGCTTTCGCGGCTAGCAACAGCTTGTTTTTGAGGTTTGCAGTCCGCTTTTTTATGTAAACTTTGAGAAATGAATTAAAAGACATTATTATTCATCAAACGCAATGAATAATGGACGATGGCAAATGAAAGGAAAAGTAGATCTTACTGACTGTGACATGCAAATTTCAGTTGGTCGTTTAGAAAAAATTTGTAAAATTTTAGGAGAAAAAGGTTATGAAAATTGGAAAATAGATTCAACTTTTATATCAATCTTCTGTGGAAAATCAGGTTTCATAATTTTAAATGCCACCTACGCAAATGGCTTGGGGCGCCAATTCAAGACCCCGGCGCAATAATTCAGTTCCGTTGCTGGGAAAATATTCATGACTTTTTTGTACTTTTTTAGATTTATTTTAAAGGCCATTTATTAATAATATTTTTAAAATGTCTTAAAATTTCAGAATTTTCCACTTTTAGCCAAGTTACTCTTTCTTCTAAATGCTCAATTTTCTAAAATTTCACTCTAAAAATGCTGACAATATTAATGTATTTTCTGCGAAAAAATATGAAATAAATTTCGAAACCTTCGTCGTTTTGTAAAAAGTTTTGAAATCCCTGTCCAGCTTCGAATTGGGAACAAAAATCAAACAATTTTCTATCAAAAAACGGACAGAATAGGCGAAAGTTTATAACAGATTTTTTGGAAATCTCGTCACCTCCATTTTTCTGAAGACTGTAGAATTTAGATAAGTCCTATATTGTTGAGGCGGATTAATTAGTTTACAAACTTTGTAAAAAAACTGTAGAATTTGTTAAATAATGTGGTTTTTTAGTTTTGACTGAATTTTTTTTGCTTTACTTTCTACTCAAAAATGCTCTATTTTGAAGTTTCACTTAAAAATGCTGACGATCTGGAGGACTTTTAAGCGGCAAATTAATACCTTTGTAAACATTTTGTGTCGAATTTGGGACTAAAACGAAAATAAATTCCTACCGTTTTTACCCGAAAACCATTAAGGTTTTCTCCAAAACCGATCACAAAACTAAAAGTTTTTAATCGAAAACGCAAAAAAGCATTATTTTCTGATGATTCTCTTTTTTTTTGACAATAATGAGATCTTTTCAACCAAAAATGACAAAATTAATGTTGCTAGAAAATTCGCCTCATTCATCGGTTTGCAGGGAACTTTAGAAAACCCATTTCAGCTTGGAATTTGGTACAAAACCCAAATTGCTTATTCAGTTTTTTACCGAAAGTAATTATCAATCTTGAAAAATACGACCAGAGAGCAAAAGTTTACAAAAAATTATTGGGAAAATTCGCCGCCCTCATCGCTCTGAGGATTTCTAAAGTTCCTTTAAATTTTCAGGTCACTCCAGTTTCCGCAAAGTTTCTATTAAACAATTATTTTTTCGAAAACTTTTTGCAGCTTCTAATTATGGACAAAACCCTAATAACTATGTCTAGGTCCTTTTCCAAAAATATTTTCCCGAACTGAAAAAGCGAAAGTTTATAATCATTTATTTGGAAAACCTTTTGAAACTGGCGTTTCTTCACTTTTAGGTCAACATTTCTAAACAACAGTGTATCTAAACAGAATAACCGCGTACTGTAAAATACTGGCAAACTGAATCTTTTACGCAAAAGAATTAAGGGATCGATTTTACGGAAGAAAAAATCGTCTAGCGGCTCTAGAAATAAAGATTCACCTATAGATGGTGTCGTTGTTACATTCAAGAAAATCTAGAATCTTCTGGAACAAACGTAGTAGTGTAGTTATAAATAGAGAGAAAATAACATAATTATTTTACTTACTCTATGCTTATAAATGGTGTCGCTGTTACATGTCCACCCGAGATGAAAAAAAGCTTTAAAAGTTTAGGACTACTAGCAATTACATTTGCAACCGAGATGAGACGAAACAGAGCTTCTAGCAGCTGCAGTCGCGCCCGAAGCAAACTAATAGAATTTCTGGAAGCTTTAGCTGTAGAGTTTCTCTTATAATTGAACCTTTATCCGTTTTAAGTAAATGTATCTTGCAGATTTTTAGCACGCCCACTAAGGCAGCATAAGATAAAATCGACTATTTCTTCAAAGAGTATGTATTTGCAAAATCCCTTGTAATTTACGAGTTTTTGTTATTACCCAACGGAAATTTTGGCATGAAACCTAATATGAAAAAACAACGTATTCGTCAATTGAATTTTTCACAATTTGCGAATCGATCGATCATAAATCAAAGATGAATAAGCCCGAAGCAAGTAAATTTCTAATTGCAAGCAAAATGTGTTGAATTCGTTTATCGTCGAGTGAAACCCAACTGAAGAGTTTTTATTTGAAACTGCAAGCACTTCTTTCCGTATGGGTTCGATTTTCAATCCGACCCGTAATCTGTGCACTGTTGCACCAAAGAACCACGTTGCTACAAAATTCATACTTGTACTTACCTTTCAGGAATTTAACAAAGTATCCAAAGCTCAATTAGTCGAGACACTCAACAATGAAAAACTGCACATATCCTTCACAATACAAACACAAACCTTGGATTGTTATCGTTCAATGTTCCGGTTCTTATTCGAAACGGTCAAGCACAGAACCACTGAACCAGAAATCCTTTTTGCTCCGGGGATTCTGCTTGGTACCAGTCCCCCCAAAAACGACTAATACCTTTATAAAGAACCACTGATTTTGTCCTACATTTCACTTTGAGCTAAAACTAATTCAGAATTTCACATTTAACGCACATTATAACACCATCACGCACTCTTTCGCCAACCATTAACAGACTTATCGGCAGTTAAAAAAGCGAATCAGTCGGAATTTCACAGACGGATCTCTCGAGTTTTTGTTCGAATTTGGGTTAAGATCGACGAGAGATGAAAGCAGTACCTGGGATCGTTCTTCTAAAGTGTGCGAATGCAAGTCAGGTGAAAAATACCTACGGGTACTGGTCAGGTGAGGTCGTGTTAGTCCGGGTACTGCCGGCTTCAAGTCCATGGAAAAGTGCATTTGTACGTATTAAATCTACCTCTGTTCACGGCTTTTAAATGTTTTTATAATTTTTAGTTTTAGCCGCCCGTTGTTCAAGTTGGCTAGCTTTTAATGCAAAGTCATGCTCTCAGAGTAGCAAAGTAACCGTCAATTTTGATCAAATAGAGGCCTGACCTTGTAGTTTTTATACAAAAGTACCGATTATTTGCCTAGTTGGTGCCTAAAGGTTGCAAAAGTTTCAAAAATTGACCTAAAACTCAGAAATAAATTAATCCTTATATTTTTTCTACCAACAGGTGCGCTAGGAATAGATTATGAATGAGTACCTGTAGGTCTATTAGTAATATTTTATTGCCCACACCGCCGGAACATCCTGTGTAATAAATAAGTTTCGAATCTCTCACCGGAACTACACTGTAACTTCGCTCCTATTCATTTCCGCTGCGTTTCATCAATTTTTTTGATTGGGGACTTTTAACGATTTAAAATTGGCGAAAGTGAGGCCCATAAATATTTTAATGCCAATCCTTGCAACGATTTCCTTCCTCGATCAAAAATGCTGATTGATTTTAAACTAGGAAGTTAGAAGACCTCACGTCCAAAGGTTTAATGCGGAACGACTGGTGAGATTGAGATGGGAAGAAGTCCCAACCACATCAGAGCAGATTAATATTTCAATGGACTATGGATTGATGGAAGATTGTGCCGGATGGAGGAAAGTGGTACAGTCAGCCAAGACCCAGTCAGGGTGGAAGCGCTGAATGATGATGATGATGATGATGATAAAGTTAGAAAGACGATAAACTAAAGCGCCTTAAGAAACTAGAACAAAAACAAACTTGGATCAGCTGCATCAGTTTGCAAAGTAACTTTCTGCTGTTTCGGATCCCGCTCATTCAAATACTCCCTGTAGTACAGGATGGCGATGCTACCAGCGTAATGAGCTAAGGAGGTGATTCCCATCCTGTAACATTAAATTAATTAGCCAGGGCTTAATCATCTCCCTAAAGAGCGCCAACCAATAGGAGTATCCCAGATATGCAGTTTTATCCGAACTCATGCTTCCTACGATAGTGTCATATATGCTCACGTTGTGGAAAGTGAGTAGGTTGTACATGGTTCCCCATAGGACCATGCTCAGCAGAGTAAAGACGAAAGCGATCCCATTGTAGACAAACAGGCTTTGAACACTGTAATACACATCCGAAAACTTTCAATGTCCAGACTGTCGTGAACTACCGTCGTTTTTACGTGATTATCTCGTTTTTTTGCTTACCGACCTGAGGAAATATTGATAGGGATTGTGAACGGTGTTGATTAAAGCCAGCACTGAAGTCCACAGTCCGAGCAAGGCAGCCAAAACTACAAACAGAAGCGTACTCAACCAGACGCCCGCATTGATGAAGCTCTTGGATGTGACTAAACATTAAGTTTTAATAGAGAAAAGTCCTGAGGATGCACAGAAGGAGCGTCTCACCATAAGTGTCGGAGTTTGCTCGAACTGGCGTCGATTCAAATGACCTGAGACCGGAAGTGAACTTGGAAATTCCTGCACAATTTGCATAGGCATAATTAGGGTCGTAAGTGTTGCTGATTAAACTGTCTAGTATGGCCTCGCGCTCTTCTGCATCCAGCTCGCAAAGTAGAGCGCATATGTTGTTTTTGAAACTGCAGGTCACTAGAACAAGGAAATCTACTCTTCATAACTGATCTCTGGATTTGGATGGAAACTGCACTGACTCGTCAACTGGTAGGTAGTGGAAAAGGGCACTATTCGTTTATATGTGCCCTGAAATAATCCATAGTGCACGTAATTGACATCGCCAGTTCCGTTCAGCCACACACTACTTCCAGTTATCCATTCTTCTGTTCCAATGCTCACAAAATTGAAAATCGAAGCAATTGCAGACAAAATAAAAGCTATTAGGATATAGACCCTATTCACGGTTGCCATTCTACCCAATTAACACTCTAGCATATTGAATACAAAACAGTTTTTCTAACACTGATTTATTCAACAGATGAAAACACACTACTACATAGTTCTAGATATGATATCAATCCGAATCTAATCTCGGAGTCAACAGCAGGCTTGTGGAAATAGCGCGGATTTTAAATATATCTTGCTAACATTTCAAGTGCTGATTATTCCAAAAAGTTCTGAGATAATTTGTATTTATACTTCATGTTCTAATACGCATATCTATTGTCTGTTGCAAATCTGAATCTACTGAGATAAAAAAAATTGTGTACGTATTTACAAATGCGACATTCGTGCAGCAAGTTTTGTGCCCCTTTTCCAGTAATTCAAATTGCTGAAAGTTAGCACCCATCTAGGGTTCAGTTCAGACCAAGAGCTTTGTACAGCGTGTTCACGTCGAACAGGGCTTTGCGCCCAAAAAACTTGCCGGCAACTTAAAACGTAATAATTTTAATTTTCTTATTATTTAGCATTTATTCGAAATTCCCAACTTCTAAACAGACAGAAGCAAAAGTTGCAAAATTCAAGTCTCTGTCGAAATTTAGTCGTTATGTAAAAGTAATTAAGTAGTTTAGTAAGATTAGTAAAAGGAGATACCTACCGTAAAATGTGAAAGAGCTTATTTATACAAGTTGTGTGTTCATATTTGAGCCATTATTAAACCCATTTTAAGAAAAAAAACTTCCTATGAACGTGTGTTGTAAACGTCCTAGCTAGCCTAGCCTAGATGCAATTCTTGCAGGGGGTGATAATTTTGGAAATATTTCGTTAATATACTGTGATCCGAAAATGCTTACTTTCCGATCTACAGAGTGATAAAGTTTTATTTAAAACATTTTTACTTATTAATATTGCGGAATATTGCGGAAACCGCTTGGAATGTTTAAACAAAATTTTACAGGCTTAGGCATATAAACTCTTAACAACAAAACATGTTTTGTGATGAAAATTTTGTTTCTAGCTTTTCCATTGGCGTGGGCACAGGCATGACTGTAGATAATTTTAAATAAAAAAATGTTACGCTACTGATTATTCCAGTAAATAAATTAAAATCGATTTATTGCATAGCTTAATCGGGTTGTAATTAAGTAGGGTTTAGTATAAAAACAAAAATTGTACACTTAGATTGAATCAATTTTATTACAAAAAAAAACGCAATAAGAAGTTACTCAGAGACTCTAAATGACAGCAATTATTAAATGTTTTCAATCAGTGACCATAACTAGGGCAGAGCCAACTTTTTAAGTAAAAACCCGATTACGCTAAGCAATAAATCGATTTAAATCTTTTACCCAAACACGGTGCGTTGTAGACAAAAAAGTCAAGAGACCTTTCCTCTTCCAAATTGAACAGGAACTTGATAAATAATATTTTGTTTTAGAAAAAATGCCTGTGCCCACGCCACTTGTGAAGCTAAAAAATTGTTGTTATCACAAAACATGTATTGATGTTAAGTGCCTAAAAAAGTGTCTGAAAAATTTTATTAAAATATTCCAAGGGGTTTTTGCCCTCGGAAATTTTACATATACTTTGTATATATACAGGGTGTTTGGTAAGTATTATATATACAGGGTGTCCCGTAAGCACATGATCAAAAGGGTACTGCGATATGCTTTGGATCAAAAGAAGACGATCTGACCTAACTTTTATTAACAAAAAATGTTTGGCTCGTCTGCTATTGGTGGTCAAAGTTCTTCAAAAAAATTATCTTTTTTGAAATATCGGGACAATGGTACGATGTATTTTGATGAAACCCGCTGTGAATTTGTTCTTAGTTAAGACTCAATCGAGTTTATCCGTTTTGGGCAAGTGATGAATTCTTGAGTGTCGTGGTACAAAAACCACCAGAACTTTTTATTTGGTGGATCGAATCAACTCATTTTACTTTGGTAGATGCACTAGAAAATCTTGTAGCATTCATAGTTTTTGCGCAAAAAAATTTGTTTGTTTCTTGCCACTTGGCAATGTTTTTCAAGTCCTGATGCAAAGGATATCGCAGTATCCGTTTGATCATATCCTTACCGGACACCCTGTATATATAATATACGTATATATACGCCACTGCTTTTTATAATTAACAGTTATTTTTATAAATTATCTTTCTGTTCTGCGCAAATTTGTCCTCTTAGTTTTATTTCGTAAACGGCATGGTTTTTGCTCAAAAATATAAAAATCGATTTCCATCCCGGTCAAATCGCTGAAAATCGCTTGTGTATCGATTAAACGAGAACTAGAAAATTAAATTTGTTAGTTAGTTATATAATCTATGTGAATCAGAGATGTTTCGAGAAACATTCTTTCCTCATCAGGAAAGCAGCAAAACGTTTATCCTACGAAAAGATTGACGGATATTTTTATAAATACCGTTGAAAATATCTCTATAACCATTAGGATCTTTTCGATAGAGCGTCCCGAAGACTTTTTTTAACTACTTAAGTGTTATCCAGAAAATTTGAGTTTTTACAAAGTTACAACAGCTTGAGATCTATTTTTCCTTATTGCACGTTATTGATTTTTTTTATCGAATAGCTTGTACCTCAAAAACAGTATTCATGGTCACATTTCTGATAGAGCGTCTTTAGGACTATCTTTAAAGCATTAGAAGCCGAACTTTTACAGAGGCGTCAAAGTTCTAAAGCGTTTATCTTGAAAACAGCTAAAAAATTGTGACTCTTTTTGATAGAGCGCTTAAAAAACTTTCGGTCTCCATTCAAGCTGTATCAGAAATATTTACCTTTACCAAGTTGAGAGCAAAAATGAAAAAATTTTGCGAAATAATTGAAGATTTGAAGCTTGTAGCTAAGCACCGATTGAAAAAATATTGTTTAATAAGATACAATTTTTTTAAGCGTTTATCAGCTTCCTGTAAGTTAAAAAGCATTTAAAGCGGTCCCCATTAAGCCGGCGAGTTTCTCTAAACTTATTGCAAATTTATGCTCTCAGCAAACCAAAAAAACCTTCAAATAGTTAACAGTAAAACACATATTTATAACGGTTTAAATCGCTTTTTAAAATACAGTTTCGCCGAGGATCACAGCTCTAATTTTTTTAAAATTCCCCAACTACGTTTCTTAAATTTAAATGCACTACGTATTAACCAAACTTTGCCTTTAAATGGAAGTTGCCACATAACCCAGTTCAAGATTATCTAGGCATTGCAAACGAAGAATTTGTCATCAGTGTCAAAACCGTCAAAACAGTGTACTTCTACGAAGGTGTAGTTGTGAAGATTTAAAAGTTTAAAAGCAAAAACCCAACAGATTTTGTGCCGGAGAAAAGAATGGATATGCTGCCTTCCAGCTGTCTCCCTGGAGATCCGAGACTGATCAATCACATCGTCTATGAACTGAAGTCTCAAGGTATTTTCGATCAGTTCCGAAAGGAATGTATTGCTGATGTAGATACCAAGCCTGCTTATCAAAATCTAAGCCAGCGAGTTGAGGGCAGTGTGATGAATTTCCTCAAGAAGCAAAAGTTTGCTGAGAGCATCAACAAGAATCAACTGCGAGAGCAGCTGCGGAAAAACATCACCGAGTAAGTGAAAGCTTTAGCTGTTGGCTGACCTTTACAAGCCCCTGGAATTCGCTTAGGTCTGGCTTTTTGGAATCTGGAGTGGAGCGAATCGTTGACCAGGTTGTCAACCCCAAGATAAACTCGGTGTTTCTTCCAAAAGTTGAGGACGTAGTATATCGTTTTCTGGGGATAGAAAGACCTTCTCAGGAGGCCCAACGGTCAGGAGTCAAGCCTAAGATCGAAAATCTGTTTCCGCAGGATTTGGATGCAGCTTCTCCAAAATCCGCACACGGTAAACACGCAATTAATCCTTCAATACCATTATATTATCATTGTTATTCAACAGATGAGAAGATGAATGATGTTGACAAAACTGACTCGACAGAGGCGCTCAACAGTTCAGAGGCCAAAATGGAAGATGAAAGCCCATCCTTTGAACCATTAGAGGAAAGCAAGTTTTCCGCTCAAGAAGAAAATTCGGATGACTCTCACCTTTCTGGAATGTCAGGTACACTAAACCGCTCCTTTATAATATACATGGTGACAACTCCAACTACTTGTGCCTAGTGTTCGAGGAAATTGTTTTAACTAGAACATTTCACAGGCTTGAGCCGTAACTCGAAAAAAAATGATGACGTAGAAATGTCCACTTCAGTGCAACCTGCGCAAGATATATCTCAGCAAAGCGAGGCAGTTGTGGCTTCTGAACAAGACACAACAATGGAAATATGTACGCCTAGTGAAATTTCAGATGCTTGTGACAATACTATGGAGAAGTTACCCGATAAAACCGAAGCTGCTAAGCCGCCACATGATGGCGATAGCGCTAATGTGCTTTCTGCGCTTGCACAAGATAAACCTGGATGCAAAAGTGAGAAATCCGGCCAAGAAGATGCAGATGGAAAGAAAGCAGACAATTATAAACGATCTCATGATAGGCACAAGTCTTCTTCTCGAAGCGACAAGAGAGAACACAAAGGTTAGTAACTGTGGATAAAAAAATAATTTGCTGCTATCCAATCGGTTTACAGAGAAGAAGGAGCGCAGCAAATCTGAAAGTAAATCAAAGGACCATAAGGAAAAAACCAGCTCTAAACACAGTTCGTCCAACAAAGATAAAGACAAAGACGGTTCAAATATAAAAGGCGACAACGTGGAAACAGACAAAGCCAAAAAGGAGGATAAAGAACGTCATAAAAGTAGAACAAGCAGTAGCAGTAAAAGCAAAGACTACAAGACCAAGTCTGAAAAACCGGATAAGTCGAAAGAAAAGTCTGAAAAGGACAAGGAAAGGACACATAAAGATAAGGATCGGCCGGATAAAGACCAATCCAGCACAGATAAAGGTAACAAACCCGAGAAGTCCAAATCGAGCAAAGACAAAGAAAAAGCAGAGAAAAGCCGAGTTGAGAAAGCTGCATCAGAAAAAGACAAATCTAGCAAGATTGCCAAAGAAAAGTCATCTAATTCATCTAAAACTGAAAACAAGGATAAGGCCTCATCCAGCAAAGAAAATGGTCCACCATCCAGCAACACGCATTCAAATCTAGACAAAAGTTCTGCTAAAAGTTCCAAAGATAAGCCAAAAAGTTCTTCAACTAGTAACTCCAAGGATAAAGACAAAAAAGTGGATGATCCGAAACAGAAAAGCGCAGAAAAGCATAAGAAGAAGGACAAATCCTCTTCATCCAGCGATAAATTAAATTTATCTTCCAGAAAAGACAAAGAAAAAAAGTCATCTGATGACCATTACAGTTTCAAAGACAAAAAGAGCACCCGGCGTTCTACCGATAGGGATTCAAACGATGGTTCGAGCAAGGTCAGCAGACATGATAGCACAACCGAAACTGGCTCTAACTCGTACAAAGGAAGCAGCAAGGAATCATCCGAAGTGTTTAGCAGTGGAGGAGGCGAATCCAGCAATTCAGAAAATGTTGAGAAAAAACCGGAAGGAGATGAAGTTGTTAAGTCACCCAATGCAGAAGTAAACAATAACGATTGATTTGATTTCCGCTACATTACTTCGGCTTGATATATTTTGTAGGCATCACCGTTTAAATATCTAAAACCCAAGTTTGCCTCCAATATTCACGAAGCAATGAAGCTAATGAAGATACGGAAGCAATTGGCCAAGATGGAAAGGGAAAATAAATTGGCGTTAACCGCAGTTTCGGTGAACGAAAAAGAGAAAGCTAAACTCGAAACCGAAACTGAAAGCGTCAGCACTGAACTGAAAACAGGTAAAATACATTCCTGCTTTTACGAGAAAACCGTCTGTGTTTTTAGCAATATTTGAGAAATACCCGTAAGAGACTAGCTTAAGAATTTCAGCACACGTTTTGTTTTCAGATACAATTTTAAATTCACCCGAGGTGAAACAATCTTCTAAGAAACCCGAATCTCCATTGAAAAATATTTTGAAGCTTCAAGTGCAACTGGAGAGGAAGGTAGAAGAAACGCAGAACGCAGAACATGAAAGCAGCCCCGTGTTAAAAAGCCACGATATAAGCTTGGAAAGTTTCGCAGCCCTTGAAGCTAGATTGGCTTTAGAAATGTCAACGGTGAATTCTAGCTCTTATGGATACGGGGATGATGAAGACTATGCTCAATATTCATCAATTACTACCAGTCCGCACAAGCAGAGGAAATTGTCCGAAAAGCAGGAAATTTATCATTCCCTTTTCGAGGAATCTGCACCGAACAGTCGTGAAGCGCAGATCGATCAATCATCTTTGCACCAAATCGTAACAGCGAGTAATCTGGAAAACAGTGTGGCTTGTTCGCAAGCGAGCAAAACAAGAACATTTGTTTTGGATCAAAACAGCGATGAGGAAATCGAATTGGCTGGAGGAATACAATCGAAATCAAGAATTAGAGAGCCAGACTCAATTCTTCGCACAGTTCTTTTAAACACTGCGCCTTCCGAAATTCCAATTCTAGCCGAAAAAAGCCAAAATTCCCCAAGTTATACCGTTGATTTTCTAGGATTCTCCAATGTGGATAGGGAAGACGTCGCTTCAAATAAACTTCACGAGTTACTTGAGCAAGTTGGGCAAGACATTTTTGGGTTACAATGTAAGGCAGAACTTCCCAGATTGGTCAAAAAAGCTGCGGCACAAAGTTCTGATTATGATCATAATTTTGGTGGGTCCATCAAACGTATGAATGGAAAAAAATTGTTCATCAGCCTTGAAAAAACCGAACTGGACACTAAAATGTTGCCTCTTAAAAGCATTACACGTAAAGAGATCACACCTTTAAATGGTGGCTTTGAACCAGCAAACTTAATGCAAAATGGCCAAAAAAAGGAAGTCAAGGAATCGACACCGTTGAAGATAAATAGGCTGGTAAAAGAGTGGGAAAACGACGACATTCCGTGTTGCTTCTTTGATAAACCAGATGCAGCCGATATAACGAATTTGAATCGATTAATTGAAAGATTGGCCGCCAACATTGAGAAGCAATTGGAGAAAATCGCTAATTCTTCATCGACGATTATAAAGGTGCATTTGCCAATTGAATTCATTTTTTTTGCTTATTTTTTCTGTTTTTAGCAAACTTGCAAAAGGAAGCTGCAGGACGAGGAAAGAGTTATAGAGCCTAAATTTGGTAAGTAAAAATTATTCTATATAAGATATAAGACTGAACCACTTTTTACTTATTTATTTTGTTCTAGCTATTAAGAGACAACGGTTGAATGAGATCATTTTGGATGAAAATATGTGCAATGCCAGTAAGTTTTGATCGTGATTGTGTTATCAGTGGCTTTGTCGTTTTGCCTCTACTCCTACTCTGAAATGCTCAACGATATGAAATATTTTTTTTATATTGTATTATTTTGCTTTGCTTTTTGAGCTTTGCGTTTTGGTAAATAGAAAATATAAGTTTTTGCGACGCTTTTGCATGAGTTTCTTAAGAAAAAATCCTCTTTGTGTTGATGAGTGTGCGTGTTCGTTTCAGTTAATCTTCCGCTACTAACATCAGCTCTTGTACGTTTGTACAGGTTTAACTTTGATTGTAGATCTACCTTCCCATCAGAACTTCAATTTTCCGTTGAGTCCTGCTGAAAGTGAAAAGTCGGGCGAGCAAAAAAAAGATGAACCCACACCTGTTAAACATAGAAAGTCTGCTAGAGGTGAGTGGGCTTAGGCCATGATAGTTTTCGGACAATTTGTAATTCTAGAACGGTTTAGGATCTACTAGTCAAAGATATTCGACAGATGAACTGTACAAGCCCAGGCCTGTTTTGGGCTGTTCTGGGTCTCGCAGAAAATATCCCAGACGAGACAGCATGGAGCAATCTTAGTAATAAGAGAGGATACACAAGCTAAGTTAGCTGTACAGTTTCATAAGGCGAAAATCTATTTTTCTAAATTGATCTCCGTTTAACAATGTAGAGTTAATTCCGGTCAGATTAGTGGTTACGTTTTTCGTCGTTCCGGTTTGTTCATGTATTTTTTTTATCATATTGTTTAATCCCACGGTATTTTGAGAAGTTGGGGTCATTTATTTGATAATATAGAGTCCGTTGGTTGTTATTGTTTGAGAGCAAAAAAGGACTGGACTGATAAAAAAAAAGTGATCAAAGTTGTTGATTCTATTCGAACGAATTGAATTTGGTCACGGCGATGATTAGTGTTGAATTTAAAATTGTATTTTTGTTGACATCTTTAATAGATCTACAAAAATCTTCCCTCCATTCAACTTGGTAGATACAAGCTGAGTTCGTTGCAATTTAGCAGTGAAACTAACGTTGATTAAATTAATTTGTTTATTGGTGCTTATCGTTTCAGTTTTATTAACCAAAGACTAATTATTCCTAACATTAAGGTCCATCCTAACAGTACGCCGATCCCGTTAAGCACCTGCAAGTCCCACAAGGACCAGCCTTTCTTTATCACATTCCGGAACGATTCTATCGCCAGAGTAAAGGGAAGGCATTTGGAAAATATCCGTAGCCCGATAGGCATTGCTTCTGTGGGCCAAATTAAGCCTAAAAGACCAAATGTTCCAAAATTATGTTCTTGGCCCTAGATAATGGGTTCTTACCACACAGTAACATCATGGGCAAAAATCCCCCAGAGACTGAAATGTTGGCCTGTGAGTGATCTTCGCATATAACAGACACCCAGAAACCTGCAAAGTAGATAAAAGCAATAGATATATTTAAACAGCGGAATTAGCCAGAAGCCGTTATCTCTGGCAATGATGGATTTTGTACCATAAGCCATCCCACAGATCCCTGCTAAATACGTAATGCAGAAAATTGCGCCTGGACTGCCCAGGTGTGTGCTATGATAGGCTGGAAAGACCATAATCAGCACTTCAGTGCATTGAAGCGCCATTATGACTGCCTGCAAAATGAAGTGAGTCAAAGTGATTTCAAGTGAAGTGACCCCAGCCACTATGGATCGGTCCCAAACTCCCTCCTTTCGGTCAGTGATTATTATTTGAGAAGTCATCATGGCCCCCATGAAGAACATCATTCTAAAAAGTACTCAACTTCAAAAGGTCCTTACTTAATGTATTAACCAGTGAACTTACGTTATGATAGTACCAGGAATCATATAAATAGTGTACGGTTCATCCTCGTGCCCGTACATGAAGTTCTTCTTAAGTGGAAGACTTCCAAGCCGCACAGGCCAGTTGCACTCTTGGAACAGTTCCTCTTGAAAGCGGTAGAACAGCTCATAAAGTTTGTATTTTAAGGTAGCGCCTGTTTGCCGATTGGACATGTCGAGAAAGGCTTTTATTTCTCCAAAATCAGCCATCCAGGGCTCTGCATCTTTGCCATTTTGGATCTAAACGTGAAAATGGTAAGCACCTACTCATTAGACTAGTTATAGAGAACGTTGAGGTTTGTGATTGATTAAATCTGTATATTTTTTTATTGCTAGAAGTAAGTAGTCTTCATGATTGTAAGCGCAATTTTCAGCTAAGCTTGGTTCAGGCTGAGTTAATGCTGCAAATTTTCATGAAAATATGCCCAAGATTTGGTTATAATTACCCGATCCTCGTATGATTTGGTGAAATTTTCCGACATGTACAAAACACCAAGAACCGTGCCATGTTTGATCGCTTCGGTAGCTTCTTCTAGCGACTTGTACTCCACCTAAAAGTTCCCATTAATTTCTTCTATAGTCCTCTTGGAAATTTATTACCTTGTGGATCATGGGATGCTCCAAATATTCCAAAAATCTGCAGCTCATATTGTGAAAGTGGCAGTCAGTGAAATCGTGAATTTCAGTGGTTCCATTGAAATCGAAATTTTGGCATCGAGTGGTCATGGTTTCGTCATTGACGATGCCCAACTTCAAGCCTTTAACATCCCCACCGACTCCGTTTAGGAAGCACAAGGTTTGGAGAAGAGGAAACGTTATCAGGAATATAATCCCTCTGAAAGCACACATTTAAGGTACGGAATTTAGACGATTTTAGGAGACTTACGTAACGTTTCTATAAAACTGTTTCCAGTTTTTGTCCAGGAGCGCCTTGATTCTATGACGCTGTAGGCTAGTTTGGTCCTTTTTAATTTTTGTTCGCTTCTTTGCCGGTGTTAGTTCCTGAAAATTGTTGTTTTCTTAATACAGCCATGAGGCATCAAAATCTCAAATTATTTGCATTGCTCCTAAACATAAATCTTACGTCTTTGGAACCATAAGCGATATCAAAGGTAGCAATGGACGTAGTTGATGAGGCTGAATCTAGAATCGCATTTCCCTGGGATCTGCTTGCCCCATCCAAGGCGGAGCTTATTCTGCCTTCTTCTTGGTTTCGACTCAGTATTAAGAACGCCTCCTCTAAGGTGTCAGTGTGAAACAACGTGAGCAGCCTTGCGGGCGATTCTTCAGCTAGCAATTTGCCTCCTCGCATGAGTCCAATCTGGAACCAGGCGATGAGCGAAGGGAAACAGGTTTTAATCACTTGAGTACCTTGTCAGCTTGTTTGGCTTCTTCAATATAGTGTGTGGTGATTATCACAGCAATTTTTTCGGAATGCACAATTTCCACCAGGTAGTTCCAGATCCTAAAGTTGCAAAATATTAAGGGAATTAGCGATGGGGCCCTGATAACTCACTTGTCTCGTAAAACTGGATCGACTCCCACTGTGGGTTCATCTAAAATCAGCAATTCCGGCATGTGAACCATGGCGGCTGCAAAGGAAACTCTTCGTTGCTGACCGCCGCTGCAGTTTTTTATAAACCTAATAATAAAAGAGGAATTATTCAAACAACGTTCGATTCTTTGTCGAAGGAACTCACCTATCATCTGGGGGTAGTTCCAGCAATTTGGACAGCTTCTGAAACCTTTCGCTGATCAGCTTATCGTCCATATTTAGGATCCGGCCGAAGTAAAAAATGGCATCTTTCACTGTAAATTCTCCTACCAGCGCGATGTCCTAAAAAAAGCTTTGTAGTATTCCCTCGAGTGCACGAAAAAATAATCACCTGCGGCATGTAGCCTACTCTAGGTCCCGGCACTCCACTGCCTTTTGCACCTGGAGTACCCCCTAAAACCCACACTTCTCCCGATTGGATGTTCTTTCTGCCCACAATACAACTCAATAGTGTGGTTTTTCCGCAACCCGAAGCACCCAGCAGGCCGTATCTAAGCAAAAACAGTCATCCTGCAGGAAATGGTTACATTCTTTTGATTACTTACATAGTTCCTCGATCTACAGTCATGCACAAACCATCCAGGATTTTATTGTCTCCATAGCATTTTACGACGTCTTTTACGAATACTGCAGCACTTTTCGACATCTGCAAAACACCAACTTTTTAATAATAACATTAAATGAGATGTGAGTGGTTTAGACGCGATTGCGAATCTGAACTTCTTCTTCGGGTTGCTGTATAGGCAAAGGCAAATTTGAGGGCTTTTATAGAATTTTATCCGATCGAGAGTTTGATAATTCTTCTTTGGAACTTTTTTAAAGGAGTTTTACACTTCCGTTGTTTCATCCACTCATTGAAGGTAGTTTTTTTTTAAATTAAGGTTTGTTGGAAGAAGCTAATTTCCTTCCCTCTCTGCTTATATTTCCCACTTTGGTATTTTCTAAAGTTAATTGCCATTCTTAAGGATTTAATTACATACATATAAATAATCATAACTTTGCCTGGATTTGTGTAACAGTCTTACTTAATACCGCGCGTTGCTTGAACTACAAACCCAGTTTAATTTATGAAAGCGTCGAAAAAATTGTAAATCCACCTGATGGAGATGTTTTCTCAAATAATCGCTGTTCTTCAGGAATCCACTTTCCTTAAACGAAGTAATCGTATGGAAAGTGCGATCTGAGGTACACGCGTGTTTACCAACAAGGCGACAAGGTCAAGATAATACTTTAATTAGAAGTAGTGAATTGTATTTCAGAATTTTTACAAGAAAATTAACAGCACAATTTACATGAAGCTTAATTTGAGTTTGAAGTAAAAATTAATTCCAATTAAACATCCAAATGCAGTTTAGAAAATAGCAGCTCTAAGACTTCAGTTTTTATGCACTCGATGTTAAATTAAAAGTGAAATTATCAAGATTTTATAGCGAAATTATTAAAATATTACAATTAAATTATTTCTATCTCCCACATACTTAGTTGAAGAATAATTTTCTTGAGAGCATAAAATCTTGTTTCTACAATCATTTGATCTGACCGGTTGATGGACAACATTTATTTTCGAGTCCATCTATGGACGTTTTTACAAGACAAGAATATGCTTGAACTAGAAGTGCGTTATTAATCAATTTTATTTTTAAATTAGTGAATTTTTCGGACTTTTACAGGAACAATTTCAGCCATTCGTCGACTTCAGGAAGTAATCATTTTTCACTGAGGTTTAAAAACTCGAAAAACTCACCAGTTTCAACTTAACTTTCTATATGTAGAGTGAAACTGGAAAACTTTTTTGAGATTTTAGACCTTCATGGAAACCAGTTTTAAAAATTATCTAGATTTAATTAATTAATACATGCACGGTAAAACGGGTTACCTAATAATGACTTTTATCGAAAACGTGTTATAAAAATACCTTTTACTCGCAACATTATTAATACATTAATTCTTATCTATAATAACATATATTAATGTTTGCCCCGATTTATGCGTATATAAGAAATGACACTTTTCAAATATCCCGTCATTTAACAACGGCCTAGTTTCATAATAAAATTAGCTGGGCCATTAAAAGTCCATCACTTTACAAAAGCCAGTTGAAAATAAATTATTTTAAATAATCCTAAAAAGAATGTTACTCGCCACATTTATTACAAAGTAATGCTTCTAATAATTTGTATTTATCGCTTTGCTTAATATGTTTGGTAAATATTTAGTATAATTCAAGGATTACAAAGCTAATTCAGTCGATTAAACACACCTCAAAAAAATAATAAAACTTTGAGGTTTTCACGTTTCCGTTTTACATAATTCCATTAAATAGTGAGAGCAGTGTCAAGACCTTGAATTACGAGCAATTTAATGTTTCCACCAGTGCCCTGGACTGATTTTACATGAGATCAACTTTTTCATGACTTGCAATCTAAGAAAAGTGAAGAAAAAACGCATTATGCATGCAGGTGGGAACAATCGCCGATTGCAATAATTAATATGGTTATTAGTTTTAATGAGAGATTACATGTTTTGCTATTTCCAAGTAATCATGTTCAAACAGCCGATCAGTGGAACCAATTTAGCGAACAATCATTAGTGAAAATGTACAACACGAGTATTAAATGCTACTTGACGAATAAACATCATTATCATTATCAACTGTTTATTGTCTAGTTCTTGATTTGGCGCTTCTAAATCTTTTTCAAATTTTTCCTGTTTTGTGCTTCTTTGACCCGTCTTTCCTTCGTTTTAGAAACCCATTCATTTGCGTCAATCGCAGATTTTCGTGTGTATTAGATTTTCTTACTTACTTTCCTTTTTTCTTCTGTCGACACAAAGGAGCAACCTCCTTATCATTAAGGAGTTTCAATATTTTGTGCCATAATTATAGCTAATTTTTATCAATAAATCTCGTCAATTTTGCGTTTTCTGGCGTTCTTTTAGAGTCATTTTTTCTTGACTTCGACTGTCGAAGTCGAAGAATCTTGTTAATCCCACATGTCTTTACGTTTTATTAGAAGTTTGTTGTTTTGGTTTAAATTTTTTTTACTATTTTTAATACATCCTATACTTCATTGTATATGTATTTGATGTATTCATACTGTTTTCCTCTTTTTTATGTCTGCCGCGCTCTTTTTTCTGTCATTTTTTAAACTGCAGCTCTTAAAGCTTCGGTTAGAGTTTGCAGGTTATTTTATTTTTTATCTTCGCTTTGCTGTTTCTTTCGTCAGTAGGTTAATTGGTAAATTTGACCAAAACTGGTCATCATTTATTATTGGGATTCATGAAGAAAACAAACAACTTTAAATTTTCTCTTATTTTGATTATGAGTTTGCGTTTTCTGTCGTTCTTCTTTAGTCATATTTTCATGGACTTGGTATCCATTTGTTTAAATCTTTTTTGCTCTGAGTTTTAATTGTTCTTATCCTTCATTGTACATCTATTTCTTGTATTCGTCCTATTGTTCTTTTATTTGTTTCGGTTTGCTGCAGGTCTCAATGTTTAATAAAGATGTATTTTTATCTTTATATGCAAAATCAAATCAATCAAAATAAGTTTTGATGATAATGTTTAGTTTTCTGACTATTTTGCAGTTGATTTTTAATACTGGGCATTTGCCCGATTTTGATTGAAGGTGTTTGCCAATTTTTACTCTGATTTTCCATGGTTCCTCATCGTGTTTTTCCTTATTTCGTTGCCTTTTGTACCCATTTTTTACTACCACAGACATTAAGGCTTCAGTTATAGTTGCTAAGCTGTTTTATCTTTAGCTTCTCTTTGTTGCTTCTTTCATCAGTTAGTTATCTTGGCATTTGACCAAAACCGGCCATAGTTTAGTACTACGATTCAAGGAGAGATTAAATATGTATTTGCGTCTTTTCTTATTTTGGTGATAATTTTGAGTTTTCTGGCGCTCTTCTAGAGTTGCATTTTCCTGTACTTGACATTCATTTGCTTAAGTTACTGCTTTTTACCCGATTTTGATTATAGGTGTTTGGCCATTTTTACTCTGATGTTCAATGGTTCTTCACCTTGTTTTTTTCTTATTCAGTTATCTTTGCATTTGACGAAAACCGGTCACTATTTAGTACTGCGATTCTTGGAGAAAATTAAGTTTTATTTTTACTTTCTCTTTGCTCCTTGCTGCTTTACTTGGGCCTAATATTATTCAAGATTGTCTTAGCACTTATTTTCTGCGATTTATTACCAATTACACACAGGCAGTATTTAAAACATTAAGTGGTCCTCAGCAACGAAATCGTTTTCGGATTTATAATGGGATAACGTTTATTAGGTGCCCTGTAACGAATTCCAACCGGTTTTCGTAGCAGTTATTTGTAGGAAATTCTTAGCTTCTTGCGCTGTGATGCATTTATTGGTCAAATATTTAAACAATGTCTTCGGATAATCGCTTTGTCTGTTGGGCGCCCCAGAAAACTATTTGATTGGCGCCCCGGAACGCGGAATTTACAAACGATTTTTGTCCGAAAGTCGTTTTGCAATCATTATGTTGATTCGAATCAAACATTATCTCTGTCGCAACCGCGAATCTATACATCGTTACATAAATGGTTGCGAAAGTTCAATTTGGTACCGGTATTTGCAATGTAATAATAACGCTGGTGTGAAATGATCGGTACTTACATTTGCACAAAAGAAAGTTTTCACCACAATCAAATTCACAGATTTTGGGCGTTTGGAGGACTGCAACTTTTAGTGCGACTATCGACGCAACAACAAGCCGGCACTACTTTAGATCAACAACTACCATTGAGCTAGATCCTGCAGCCGCTAAGAGAATGCCAGCCTAAGTAGGAAAGTTGGTGTTACTTGCAACCACTGCTGCAATTTTCTTCATCACCTTGAACCTGCCATGGATACACACCATTATCTTCTAGAACCCCCACTTTTCGTTTTTCGATGGCAATATCCCAACGTTTGAAAGGAGAAGTAGTTTTCCGGAAGATTTCTTTGAAGATAATCCTTTAGAAATAAGAAAAATGAGTCTATTTTAACATCAAGGTAAACACATTTCAGGGGTAGAGTGGAGCCACTCAGAATAGAGGGGAAAGATCATGCTCTTCTAATGTTGGTCCTTAAACGCTTCTATAACGAGCTACAGATTGTTGAATATCCACATAAAAATTTGTTCTTCCATTCCGTAGTTTTCCAGCTAAAATGATTCAATCGCAACTATAAATTTGCATGTGCAAACTGCTGAGCTTCTTTGGTCGGAAATGAACCATTGAGATGGAGAAATATAGATGAAACATTTTGATTCTGGAGCCTCAAAATGTTTCGAATTTTACATTAGTTCATCATGGAGTTTTTAGTTCCAAAAGAACCGAAAATATTGACTCACTTAATGCGATTGTTAGTAATATTTAACGAGCAATTTCTTTCGTATTCTGAACTTCTTCTATTTTCTATTCTTCCGTATGCTGGTGATTTTTTGGTAAAGGTAATCGCAAGCAGAAACTCTTGAAGCGGGAGCGCTACTCGCACTCTAATGTTAAACGTATAATTTAACTTAAACAGAAATGACGCCCAATTTTTTTCTTGCTTTGTGCCCGGAATATGAATAGAAGATCTTAGAATGAAATTAAAGACGGAATTGAAACGCTTTTTCTTCTACTAAAACTAATGCAACTTTTCGCATTGAATCCCGTCGTCACTCATTTGCCGCGGACCTTAAATTGGAAGTTTACGCATAAAAACATGTTTTTAACTTCTTTGGATTACTGATTTGGTATCAATGAATATTAAAGTGTTTCCTTGTGATTTACTGAATAATATTTTCTTTTTGAAAAACCTAATAAATACGCAAATTTGGTATAACTAGCCAGGCTTTCCTCAGTAGACTTTTTAAACTTTTTCAATTTAAATGAAAAATAAAGGTGTTTATTTGCGAATACATCGTCGATTCTCTGTAAAACAAAGATATCAAAATTAGTGTTTTTCCGCTGTAAATTAAATTTTCCTCTGCAATTTTTTTTAAGTTTACTTTAGTTGAAACAGTAAGTGTTAGAGAATTTCATTGATGACAGCATTTTGTACAAAGGCAATTCATTTTTTCATAGAAAATCTGGCGAAGTTAATTAGTACAAAGTGAGGCTTTTGGTTGTCCCATGAATCCTTTATCAATCGACTTTGATTATTAGATTCTAAAGAGACTGAAAGCCATAAAATTCGTCCAGAATTCGACGTTTTTCCCCTTAGAAAAAATGAGCCGCGCAGTGGATGCTTCCATTGATTCGCAGCTTGCAATCCCTTCTTTAAAAATTCGCATCGCCCAAACTAATACCAGCAGTCCTTTGAAAAGTTCATCAACTTTAGAAGAAAAATTAGTGTAACGAGTTTGAAAAGTTCTCAAAAATCGTCTACAAAATACATAATATTGATCGCATGATGAGGGTTTTAACAGAACCGCGTTGTCTTCTTTAAAAAATCGTATTTTCCAAACCAGCAGTCGTAGCAATCTGAATTTTTGACAATCTTTTACGGACATTCGATAGTAAAGATGCTGAAAGTTTCATGAAAATCGCTCAGAAGGCTGATTTTTGCCAGCTTATAAGTTACTGGTGTTATATTCAACCGCGCTCGCTCATTTAAAGGCCCGAATCTTCCAAACTAACGCAAGAAGTTATTTGAAAATTTCATGATCTTTAGAAAACATTTGACTATAAGGATGCTGAAAGGTTCATAAAAATTGCATCTTTAATCTTTAGTTTTGCCGGCTTAGAAAATGTTGCTCTCAGAATGTGTATTTTGAGTCAACTGCGCTCGCTCATTTAAAGATCCGCATCTCCCAAACAAATCCAAGAAGTAATTTGAAATTTTTACCATGTTTAGAAAGCATTTGAGTATAACGATGCTGAGAGGTTCATAAAAATCGCATGGAATTTTTCGTTTTGCCGGCTTAAAAAATATTGGTCTGAGAATGGGTGTTTTGACTCTCGTACGCTCTCTCCTTCTATGTTCCAAACTAACAGAAACGGTAATCTGAAAGCTTTACCACTTTTAGCAAACTTCTGGCTGTAAAAATGCTGAAAGTGTTCCAATAAAAATCGTCCAAAATCCTGATTTTTCAAACTTGGAGAAAACCAGTTTTATAATGGAAGCTTTTACTCAACTGCGCTCGCTCATTTAAAAACTCGTATCTCCCACACTAAGGCAAATAGCATATTGAAATTTTCACCATATTTAGAAAACACATGACTATAAACATGCTGAAAGGTTCATAAAAAGTGGCTCGGAAACCTGAGTTTAACCAGCTGAGAGAAAATTGGCCTCATAATAGGTGATTTTACTCAACTGCGCTCTCTCCTTTAAAAATTCCAAACTAACAGAAGTAGCAATCGGAAAATTCCACATTATCTTGCAGACACTCAACTGAACAGACTCTGAAAGTTTCATAAAAATCTTCCAGAATCTTAATTTTTCTTTACTTAGAAAGAACTGGGCTCGCTCATTGAAAAACTCGCATCTTCCAAATTAACGCTTTAACAGACATTTTAGTGTGAAGATGTTGAAAGCTTTATAAAAATCGCCCTGAATCCTCAACTCAAAAAAATTGCGTTATAATGGGTGCTATTACTGACCAGCGCTTTTTTTAAATCGCATCTTCCAAACTAATCGAATTAGCACTTCTAAATTTCCACAATCTTTAGTAGATATTTGTCTTTGAAGATGTTTTGAAGAAAGTTTCATAAAAATCGCCATTGCAACTCTCGAATCATAATTGTTCGTGGCGAATTTTCCCTTTTACCTCATTTACGTATGTACTTTATGTCAATGTAAAAAAATTTCGATTTTTCTTCCCTATAGTTTGGCTCTTCGATGTCTTAATCAATTGCTTCTTTAATTTAGAAACCTTTTCATCTGTAATTTTTCTTTAATTTTAGAGCATAAAGTTTAAAAATTCAATGGATGCTTTTAAAACCCGCCAAAAAGTTTTTGGTTGATTTAAGTATATTTTTAGAGCAAAAACTGTAAGCCTGTAGATCGCTAAGAAAGCATTTGCGGTCCGTCATAGAGTACTGTAGTATATTTTTAAACACCCTGTATATAGTTAAAGCCAAACGAAGCTTTAGTTTTAATTTAACATACACCAACAGATTTACTTACATTTGAGACCTTAATAAGAGCAAAAAAGTTGTTCTAAATTGGGAATTGAGAGCAAAACATTAAAACAATGTTAAACTATTTATCCTTCATCAGTATTACGCATTGTGAAAGTGAAAGCGGAATTGAAGGAGGATTTTGTTGATTTTATTTAAAAAAAAGTGGATTTGTGAACCGAATTTTTAAAGGCTGTTGTCTCGCTTCTGGGCTTAACCTTTGTTAAACCTGCCGTTCTCCCCCGGGCAAAAAACTGCGCGCTTCCAACAATCAAGAATATCGTGAATTTCTGCTCCTGGAATCCCACTGAAGAGGGAAATTAATTTTTCCAAATCTCCCTTTAAACAATAAGACTCAAGACCGATCCAAAAAATCCTCCACTATTCCCAATCAACTCCCACCCACATCAGAATACCAGAAGAAACAATAACTGCTAGTTCTGATCTTAATAGAAATCCATCACTATCGCCTTATTTTTATGCACCAAACGCTGGCAATGCCAAATAACACTATCCAGGCTAAGAGCACGCCGATCCCGTTGATCACTTGGATGTTCCACAAGTTCCAGCCCTTCATCATTACGTTCCGCAACGATAATATGGGCATTGTGCAGGGGCTGGCCAAAGACAACCATCTGAGGATGGTAGGCATGGCTTCTATGGGCCATATTATGCCTAAAAATCCATCATTTGCTGCTGATATGAAGGTGAGAAGTTGAGTCACTCACCGCATATTATGGTGAGTGGGAGGTATCCGCCGGTGCAAAAAATATTCGCTTCCCCCAGCTTTTGGCAGAAGGTCGACACAAAAAATCCTGAAATTACCCCCCAAATAAATTAAATGAAGTAGGCTGATAAGTTGCTTACCATAAGTCATCCCACAGACGCCCTCCAAGTAAAGAATGAAGAAAAAGAGAATCCAACTGCCCTGGATTGGGTAAGTGGACATCAGCCAGATCATCAGCAGAACTTCCGCACACTCAACCAGCATAATTATGAATTGGAGGGAGAGATGGGAGAGGGTGATTTCCAGCGAAGACACTCCAGCCACTATGGATCGATCCCAAACCCCATCGATTTTCTCTTTGACGATTATCTGGGACGTCATGGTGGATCCCAACAGGAACACCAGTCTGCAACAAACAATACTGGATTATTGATCAAATCTCGATAGATTTCCTGCTTACAAGAGTGCGATTCCAGGCGTAACAAACGTAGTGTACGGAGTATGATCGTTGCCAAAGAAGAAGTTTTCGTCGATCGGAATATGGGCAAACTTCTGCGGCAGCTTGCAGTCCGACAACAATTTATCCTGGAACTCGATGAACAATCTGTAGAGCTTAATAGCCAAGGCTGCCCCTGTGAAGCGATTGCTCATATCCATGTAGCCGCGTATTTCGCCATAATGCACAATCCACTCTGGAGAGTTCAGCCCTAAACGCGTCTAGAATAGAAGCGTGATTCCAGTGGAGGTTTTCCTTAAGTGCCCAACTTACCCTTTCTTCAAACGACTGCGAAAAATTGGTGGGTATGTAGAGAAAGCCCACAATTTGCCCATGCTTAATGCCTTCGACTGCTTCAGGATACGACTTGTACAGCACCTAAAAATCGGCTGATTAAAATTGGCGTAAATTTCTCCAAAAATGTTCAAATCGAGGTATACATTTATTAGCATCCTTAGACAGCTTGGCCAATTTTGCATCAATTTGGTTTAAGGCGTATAGGCGTACCGAGCTTAATACGAGTAGGAAAAGCCATTGAAAATGTATACAGTTAAATCGATGTAACTTCTAAACGACTTGTTCAATTTTTATAATTTTAAGCTTGTTTGGAAGCGAAATTATAGTACTTTTCACGGTTGTATAGAGTAGAGCTCGATAGTTCTAAACAGCATTGCTAGACAAGGCAATTTGCAACAATCACATTAACAATTTTCAATTCTTGTGAACATCGAACCATTTTTTGGGTTTGGGCCAACCAAATTGGGTTTTGTCGATTTACTAACCACGCAAATCTAAAACTTCTTGATTCAAGCAATTTTTGACAAAACTGCCAACGATTCCCCATCTATGGTTCACTTTCTAAAAAGGCCATTTATTTCTGTCTAGAATGATGTAGAAATGAGCGTTTTTGCTCATTTTGCCTCCGAGATATGAGCAAAAACGGGACGGAAAACATTACAATTTGGCATAATCTTGCACCTAAGTGTCTGATATTAAAATTTCACTTTCTGGGTCGAAACTACTCGAATTTCCGCACTCACGTTGTTACGACTGAATCGACTTTTCAGTTCTCTATGCAACGATGCCAAAACGAATTCTGTGGCTCAAATGGTTCTTGAGAAACTTCGAAAAAAAGCAGCGTCATGTTCAAGTGGATTTAGCAACTCAAAAAAAAATCACGCAAATCTAAAACTTCTTGAATTCAAGCATTTTTTGAGAAAACTGCCAACAATTCCCCATCCATGGTCCACTTTCTAAAAAGGCCATTTATTTCTGCCTAAAATGATGTACAAATGAGCGTTCTTGCTCATTTTGCCTCCGAGATATGAGCAAAAACGGGACGGAAAACATTAAATTTCGCAATAATCTTACGCCACCCT